CTGCAAGAAAACCCCCAAGCTCAGAAACCACCAAAGACCTACATTTCCTCCTCCTCCTTCCTCCCTGCTCCTCCTCTTCTCCACAAACCCCCATCCCTTCTAACACGGATGATGTTCCCTAGTTGGGTCTTGAAACGTCTGCAAGAAAACCACCCAGCTCAGAGAGCACCAAGGACCCCCACAAACCGACCCCTAAAAAGCAAAATAAATCCCGAAACCTGTGGATGGGCGATGGGCCGACGGAGGGGCGATGTTACGGCGCCAAAGACAGAGAAGCCACACGCCGGGGGGGGGGGGGGGGGGAGATCTCTTTTCTGGAGATGAACCCCAGACAGGCCCTTCCCCCCCAGAGCTGGCCGGCTTTTGTGACGACGGTCCTCCTCCTCCTCCTCCTCTTCCTCTTCCCTCCTGCCACGTCCACCTCTGGCTTTCCTTCCCGGCAGGGCTGCAAATGGATGATCCAACAGTTCCGCCTCTACCTGACGGCCAAGCATGGGGCCGAAGCCGTGGAGATCCTCTTCTCCGAGATGGACAACATTTTCATCAAGAGCCTCCAAAGCGTCCAGAAAGTGATCATCAGCGACAAGCATTGCTTCGAGCTCTACGGCTACGACATCCTGATCGACCAGAACCTCAAGCCGTAAGCAGGGCAGCGGGGGGCGTGTGTCTGTCTGTCTGTCTGTCTGTCTGTCTTCAGGCAGCGTTCCCCCCTCCCCAACCTTTGACCTTTCAAGACAAGGGTGGAATTCGACTCCCGGAAGACCCCAGCCAGCCAGCCATGTTATCACTCACTTGCTTAGCGGCTTAGCGAGTGGAAATCCTGGTGCCAACTGCGGTTATAACTTGACAACGGCTTCTTCTTTGGCTTGATGTTGGTGAGGGGTCCTTGAAGCTCTTGGAGCTTGGTGGTTGTTGTTGTTGTTGTTGTTTTGCAGACATTTCATGACCCAACTTGGTAACCCCAGCAATGTTAGAAAGGGGGGGGGGTGATTTGCAGATAGGAGGGGGGAGGAGGATGACTGTGGGGTCCTTAGTACTCTCCTAGCTTGGTGATTTTCTTGCAGACATCTCATGACCCAACTAGGTAACAACATCAGTGCTAGAAGAGGGTGGGGTTTGCAGAGAGGAGGAGGAGGAGGAGGAAGAGGAGGAGGAAGGAGAAGAAGAAGAGGAGGAGGAGGAGGAGGAGGTGGAGGTGGTCATCCTTGGTTCTCTCCTAGCTTGGTGATTTTCTGCCAGACATCTCATGACCCAACTAGGTAACAACATCAGTGCTAGAAGAGGATGGGGTTTGCAGAGAGGAGGAGGAGGAGGAAGAGGAGGAGGAGGAAGAAGGAGAAGAAGAAGAGGAGGAGGAGGAGGAAGAGGAGGTGGAGGTGGTCATCCTTGGTTCTCTCTGAGTTGGGTGATTTTCTGGCAGACATCTCACGACCCAACTAGATAACCTCATCAGTGCTGCAAGGGAGAGCAGTTTCAAGCACTCCCCTCCCTCCTAGTACCAATGGCATTCTCTAGGTGGGTCATGAACCATCTGCAAACAAACAAGGCCAGAGAGCACAAAGGACCCCAACAATCCTCCTCCTTAGCTCCCTTCTAGCACTGATGATGTTCCCTAGTTGGGTCATGAAACGTCTGCAAGAAAACCACCCAGCTCAGAGAGCATCCAATACCCCATAATTCTCCTCCTCCTCCTCCTCCTCTCCACAAACTCCACTCCCTTCCACAGGTGACGCTCCACAGTTGGGTCATGAAACATCTGCAAGGAAAAGGACCCAGGCTTCCAAACATTTGGGCTAGAAGAACCGTCAAAAGCTTAGCCTGCCACCGATTAAGAGTCAGAAGAGACCTGGTTAGGTCATCTAGTCCAACCCCCCCTGCCCAAGCAGGAACCGATCCCCCCTTCTGTCTCTGACCTTCGTTGTGCTGTCCCCCGCACAGGTGGTTGCTGGAGGTCAATGCCTCTCCATCCCTCACCGCCAGCAGCCAGGAAGACCACGACCTCAAGACACGCATCTTGGAGGACACATTGAACATTGTGGACATGGAAGGCCGGTGAGTAGCGCACGAAGACAGATTGGGTGGGTGGGTGGGGGGTGGAACACATTTTTTTCCACAACTTAACATTAAGGAGACACCGAGAAAGCTTACAAAAAGAGGTAAGCAACTTCCTCACTTCATGGCTGCCCTGTTGTTTCTCGCACAGATCAAGATTTGACCATACATGATCCGTTCGGCCTGGTCATCTTCAACCTCATCCCTTCCAGATAGAGCAGGGGTCCCCAAACTTGGCCACTTTAAGACTGGTGGACTTCAACTCCCAGGATTCCTCCTCCAGCCATGTTAGCTCAGGAATTCTGGGAGTTGAAGTCCACCAGTCTTAAAGTGGCCAAGTTTGGAGACCTCTGAGAGAGAGCAACCAACCAACCAACCAACCAGCCACTGGCCATGCTATCTGGGGACGTTGATGCTGACTAACCCATCATATTGGTGGAGGTTGAATTTGAGAGCAGGGGTGGATGTGATCCTTTTGAGCCAGGGGTCCCCAAACATGGCCACTTTAAGGCTTGTGGACTTCAACTCCCAGAGTTCCTCCTCCAGTCATGTTAGCTCAGGAATGCTGGGAGTTGAAGCCCACAAGTCTTAAACTTGCCAAGTTTGAAGACCTTTGCTCTATAAGTTTTGAGGGAAGGAGTTGAAACAGTTTATATCCGGGATGTGAGGGGTGTGTAAATATTTTCACAGCCCTCTTTCTGACTCGTGCAGTGTACAGGTCCTCCACGGAAGGCAGGTTGTTATTAATTGTATTTTTTTCTGCAGTCCTAATTCCACTCTGGAGTCTGTGTCTGTCTTGGTGGGTTGCAGAACCAAACCAAACCAAACCAGTGATAAGAGGTGCAGATGACAGGCTCAATAGTTCCTCTACAGAACTGGATCAGCAGCTCCTTGGGCAGTTTGAGCTTCCTGAGTTGGCGCAGGAGGACCATTAATTTAAAGCACTCCAGAGGGTGAACGTCGTTGCCCAGAAGATCCTGGGTTGCCCTCTCCCCTCTTTGGAAGAGCTTTAGAGCTCCCGCTGCCTTAAGAAAGTTCAAAACATCCCCAAAGATCCATCTCATCCTGGGAACCCTTTTTTTTTCAACTATTACCATCTGGCAGATGGTACAGGACAATAAAAACAAGGACAAATAGGCTGAAAAACAGCTTCTATCCCAGGGCAGTAGCACTGTTGAATTTCTACTGTATAGTGCAATATTAATGCAATATCTTCAAAGTGCCTTCAGGTGCTTTGGAGAATAGCTTGACACCCCCCCCCC